CGATGTGTTACCCAGAGAAACATGATGTTTGTTCAGCCTAAAGCTGAACCTCTGACTTTGTGACTTTCCCTAAAGCAGACGGTGTAAATAAAAGCTCACAGCTTCAAAGTACAAACTTATAATAAATGGATGAAAGATCTCAAAGATAGCCTGACAGGACAAACATTAAACACACTCCAGACCTTACAGACTCGTAGCTTCATCTGTTGCATTATTCAGACTGCTTCTTGAATCCTCTCCACTTCTCTGTCTCCTCTGTCCTCTCCAGGATCATCAGGACTCGCTCTCAGCAGCGTCACTTCCAGCTGCTGGTCATCACTCATGACGAGGACTTTGTGCAGCTGCTGGTTCGGTCCGGGTGCATCCAGCACTTCTACCGCATCAGCAAGAACCAGGACCAGAACTCAGAGATCACAAAGCAGAGCACAGCCTTCCTCTCTGTGTGACACCTTGTACCTCAGCAGCTATGAAATCACTTCATGGTTCACCCTCTCACACACAGCCACGTGAGCTGCTCGCCCGGCATCAGGATGAAATTTGGATTCGGCGTCTCAGCTGATGACACGTCAGCACGTGAAAGTCTGTGGACTAAAAGACACAACCTGTTCAGAGATCAGAGGCAGCTCCACAGTTTACCTTTATATTTCTATGTTTCCTCTGAGGGGACAGAGTTCTCTTATGAATATTTTTATGGGACAAAGAGGTGTGAGTGGTGTGTGCTGTGATTTAGTTTTTTGTTTTGTTTTTTTTTTAGATCTCCTCTGGTTCCTCTAAAGGGCACCCAGGACAGTTCTGAACATCAGCAGCTGTTATAGAGCCAGAGGTGACTTCAGCTGTCAGGATTTCCTGCATGCATTAAATTATGTTAATGCATGCAGGAAATCCTTTTTCCTGTTAGGGTGGCTCAATTTTGTAGTTTATTTTTTAAATATTTTTCTTTACTCTTAAATTTGTTTTCCCTACGAATATTTACTGCTGGACTTGGTAGAATAATGCACATTTGTCAGCACTTGCTCACATACACACCGTATGTAGTACCATCGACACTCTATTCGGTGTTTCAGTATTCATGTCTTCTGTTAAAACAGGAAGAAGAAACCTTTAACAGCTGATGTCTGAGAGGTTTTCATGGCAACAAAGATCTGTCTGCTCTTTGGTGAACGCTGTTTGGCTCATGCTGCAGGAGGTGCAGGTGTTTTTATAGGACAGCTGAGGGGTCACCTGCTCTTTAAGACATGTTTGATCTGTGTGAATGTGACACATCACTTTATTCAGGTTTGTGTGAACATTTATTTATTTTATATTTAACCTCATCATAAATAATGTTGTATACAGCCTGTTTAACAACATAAAAAATATACTGCTATTAAAAAACAGAAAGAAACTCATTGTTACTTCATTGGATCTGGTAATAAGATCATTATGAGAACAGCGGCCCTCAAGCGGGAGAAGTGGGAACTACAAAAACAGTAAAGGTTTAAAAAAACAACACAAACACTACTTCCTGTTAGCGATTTTAGTGAAGGTTACTACAGCTTGGCTTTATCTGACACTGTTTTAAACATTAATGTGTGACATTAATGTGTGACGATGGGCTGAA